AGCCTCCCTGGTTAAGGGTAGAGTGATCATCCGTTCTTTTTCTTCTCAAAACCACTCTGATGAATAACCTGGTTTATGCACGTGTGTGAATGTCTGCTGAATAAATTCATCAAAGTAGAATTGCTGGGTCAAAGAGTATGTGCATCTCATAATGTTGATGGCTGTCGCCTCTTCACCTTTGTGGCATTTACAGCTGTTTACCCTTGTGAACAACAGTGTGGGAAAGGGCCTGTTTCCCAGACCCCTGAAAACAGTGCTAACGAGTTTTTTGATCTTTACCCAAGTGATAAATAAGAATTGTATCTCCATGTGTTGTAATCTGCATGTCTCTTTATGATGAATGAGAGTGTGTATCTTTTCATATGTTCCAAAGCTCTATGTCCTTGTCTGCAAACTGTCCTTTTGCTTTCTCCGTCTTATAAATGTGTTATTATTTATTTATTCCTCACTGACTTATTAGTTCTTATTCATTCCTTACAGATTTCTAGGACCTTTTACATATTAAGGAAGTTTGCTCTTCGTGATTTGAATGACAGTTACTCTCCCTGTCTTTTCACTTTTATTTAGGGAATTTACCAGACAGATATATTAAAAATTGTTTTTCTGGTCTAATTTATCAATCCTTTCTGTAATGGTTTTTGGGGGTTGTATCATAGAATAGCCTATATACTACTCTTCCATGATAAAAGATTTGCATACAATTCCAAAGGATCTTTTAGTACTTTTATGGTCTTATTTTTTTCCCCAACATTTAAATCTGAGATCCACTTGGCCTTTGTCATGATAAACAAATGAGTGGTAGAACTTGTCATTGTTCTGTATTCCTACCTGCCCTTCCACTTAGTGACATATTCCCTTTCAGCTGGACTCATCAGACACATCTCCACCCTTTTTGCTTTAGATTCCCTCCAGTGGCTTTCTACGCACACCCCACTATCCCTGGCTTCCATATGCCAAAGCCTAATGGCATTTTCTTTAAGCTCCCTGGCAGCTGTATGATATCTAGTCACCTACGTCTTCTAGGACAATCCTTAATATTCCCCAAGACCACTCCTCTTTGTCCTCGGACTTCCTCTTCATTTCCAGGTGCTTGCTGAAGATAGAGTTCACTCTGAATGCTCACCTTTCTTTATGTGAAGCCCTGGGAGAGGTCGCTTTGCAGATTCCAAATGATCAACCTCTCTGCCCCAGCCTCCCTACACAGCCGCATCCTACTTCTCAAAGGCACCATGTCATCTCCACTAAGCTCATTTCAATCAAAAACATGAGCAAAACACATTTCTGTTTTCTCAAAGTCCTTTTTAATCTGAAATTCCCCATTCCTCCTGCTACAATATTTCCTACCTCTTCCTTCTACCACTGCCACAGTTTAGTTTCAGGGTACTTTTTCATTGTTGTTTATGAATATCTCCATCGCCAGCACCTACATACCTGTGCACTGGCCTTTTGTGAAGTGAGAGACCTCTTTTTCTTTACCCATGATAAAGATTTATGTGAAGAACAGTATGTAATTTCTCCACATAGGCCAACTCCACTCCTGACCCTCCCTATACACCTTCCTCCCCAATTTCTTTCTTTCTTTTTTTTTCTTTACATTTTTTGTTTCTATTTGGTTATATATAACATTAGAGTTTATTTTGACATAATTTAAAAAGCATGGAATATAATCTACTCAAATTCAATTCCCAGTATTTCCCCCTTTCTCTTTTCTCCTCCCTCTTTGTTCCCTTCCCTTTACTCTACCGATCTTTCTGCTTTTTGCTTTTGGATTTTTTTTTTCTCTTTTTGGTCAGTGTCTTTTGGATATACATAATGTGAGATTCACTGTGGTATATTTATGTACGTACATAGGAAAGTTAGGTTAGATTCATTCCTCTTCTTCCCTTCTCTCTTCTCCCCCAACTCCGCCAGTTCCCTTCATCTAGCCCACAGATCTTCCTTCTTTTTTTGAATAAATTCCTCCCTCTTTTCCCTTTTTCTCTCTTTCCCTTATTTCCTTACTTTAGATGAGTTTCCACATATCAGAGAAAACATTTGACCTTTGGCTTTGTGAGGCTGGCTTATTTCCCTTAGCATGATAGTCTCCAGTTCCATCCATTTACCAACAAATGCCATAATTAGAAACCTCTTTAGTCACATCCAGTCTCACCCAGAGCATCTCTAGCTATAGTTTCCAGACTAGGACTACTTCCACTTTGGAGGCCAACAGTTGCTTTCAGACTCATGGCCCTGGCTCACAGACAATACACTGTCTGCCAGCAGACCCCTTTCTCTCTCTTTCTTCATCTTAGAACCCAGGAAATGCCTCTCTTTTCATTGAGCGCTCACCCTCCTCCTTCAGAAAGCCTTTTTGTGGTATTAGTATCAGTTCATGAGTCACCAACTTAAGAACTTGCTTCTGGCCACAGACCTACCCTCCTCATAACATCTCTTGTGAAGACCAATTGTTTCTGGTTAAAGACATGAGGGTCTCATCAGATGTACAGATTTTGGCTTTGCTGGTTCTTCTCTTCATAACCTCATGTTCTCTTTAACCTATCCTGTCACTGACCCATAACCCTACAAAGTTCTGCTCAAAAATAAACCTCCAGCAATGTCACTAAGTAAAAATGCAAATCGAAGAATGGCACATTGGGTGTAACACCATGGACACGTGTGCGCAAGCACACTCTATTTCTCCTTAGATACCGTGTGTAAATATGCAGAAGTAGGCATTAAAAAGTGGGACACCAAACACAATGGCAGTATGCCTCAAAGGTGACTGTGGAGGCCCTAGGTTTGGCAGTGGTGATCAGGAGCCACTTTTTTTTTTTTTAAACCTTAGCCTGTTTGACCTTTGCTACAGTGAGAAATATATTCAGTCAAAAAATATATTTTAAATTCTTTAAAATTCACTTAAATGGTAGAAGTTCACTGTAGCTGAACTGGCAAATGACAGTGCTTTTAGAATTTTAGAATAAAAAGACCGTAAGTAAAACTTAAATTTCCTTAAAAAGTGGGGGACATGAATAGAAAATGTAGAGAATACTTGAAGCATATTCCTTAGAAATCAAACAATGCCTCCCACACGTACACATACACACATCCTCTGTACATGGGCTTCATAGTGCTAGAGCAGTTACCTTCCAGGATTTTCTAAAAGTGTTAGAAAATCAGTCCTTACAAACATGTAGTTATAGAAAAAAAAATGACATAAAATTGCATGTTTTAAGGCAATTCTAAAGCATTTCTTTACCTCCCACTTTTAAGTTTTAGGCAGTTTGACTCTTTACTATTTCTACACACCCAAAGTGGCAATTCTCATAGAGGAGGGAGCCCATGCCCAAACTATACCTGCGGGGAGTTAGTAGGAAAAGAGACCCTGCTACTGGTGGGATGTGCCGAGCGGCCAACAGGCTGAGACCATTCACTTCCAAGTCCAGCATCAGAATTAAACATTATCTGTCAAAAAAGGTAATTCATATAAAATAACCACACATACCCCAAACTGTCTTCCTAATAAAGTCATGCCTCGCCCCCGCCACCCCCACCCCCCCAAACTCCACCATTTTCATGGCCATTTGGCTGTCTACTGTGCTGGCAACAGAGAGCCAGAATTCCAGGTTCAAATCCCAGCTGTTCCACTTTCTACTTGTGTGACCTCAGGCAAGTTGCTATACCCTTGGCTACTGGCCCTCAGGCCCCTGATCTGTACAGTGAGGTGGGTCATAGGAACCTCTATTGGAGGGCTGCTCTTGGTATATGTTAGTCAGCTTTCCATTATGAAGCACAAAGATGATGAACTGAGATCATCAGCTTAGGCAAAGGAAAGATTTATTTGGGATAACAGTTGTGGAGGTTGCAGACAACAGTTATGGGCCAATGGATGACAAAGCAACAAATCACGGTAGGGGGCATGTGTAGGAGCTCCATCTCATAGCCAGGAAGGAAAGAAGAGGGAGGAAGAGGCTGAAGTTCACAATCCCCCTTGAGGGCATGCCCTGGGTGGCCCAAGACCTCTTTCTTACAAGGCCCCATTTCTTAAAAGTTTCCACTACTTCCTTGTAGTGCCTTGTTAGGAAACAAGTCTTTACCATGAGGGCCTCTGACTGATGCTTCAGATTCAAACTATAGCATGGTAGTGAATGAACTAGGATATTGAAGCCATCCGAATAGTGTCTGGAATCCAGGAAAGCCCTTAGATAAACTTATTATTTAATATGAGTGGACTTTTGGCTTTCAGAAGTCAAATGATTATCTAGGACACCCTAATTTGATGACTGCAGTGCAGTTGGACAGAGCACACATGTTCCTTCAGTCAAGCCCTCCAGTCTTCTCAGGAAGTTCTTTTTTTATGCCCGAATGGCATGCATTATTGAATGCCAGCTTTTTGATGCCAACTTGGCAAATGACCATTTATCCTAAGGGCAGAGCTTCTTCCTCCCTGAGGATGAAGTTGTCCTGGGCACACTGTCAGCCAGGCCACCTCTCCATCAAATCCCATGGACCATCACCTCTGGGAAAAATCAGGCCTGTGCAGTAGGGACTGGATTTATATTCCTTTTTGGGATTTGGGTTTTAGTCAAAGAATTCTAGGATATAATAAACACACAGTTGAGAGCCAACTCTCTTTGGTCACCGATAAAGTAGTAACAGCTGTGTGTGGTCCTCCTGGCATGAGATATTTTGAACCAAAAAAGTAAATAAAAATCTTTGTGTTGAGTACAAAGTATGAACACTAGCTTTAAAAAACAGGCTTTGATTTTTAACAGCTTTTTATTCACTGGTGTTGGCATCTAAAATACCTTTTGGAACAATTTTGTCAAAAGTAGTGAAATAATGATTGCCTCTTTCACCATAGGTCTTGTGTACTTGGGGAGTTCGGTGAAACAACCCTTGGCACCACCAAGACTCTGGGCTGTGGGAGGAGTAAGGAGGAGCCTCCATTTGAATTTAGGCTCAGAGGGATAACTGTCCTTTGGCCAACACCTTAACCCAGCTCCTTTGGGTCTGTGTTGCAGGGATCATGTACCGCAAGTCGTGTGCATCGTCAGCGGCCTGTCTCATTGCCTCAGCCGGGTACCAGTCCTTCTGCTCCCCAGGGAAGCTGAACTCAGTGTGCATCAGCTGCTGCAACACCCCTCTTTGCAACGGGCCGAGGCCCAAGAAAAGAGGCAGTTCTGCTTGGGCCCTCAGGCCGGGGCTCCCCACCACCATCCTGCTCCTTAAATTAGCCCTCTTCTTGGCACACTGCTGAAGCTGACAGAGATGCCATCGCTACCTGCATTGTTCTTCTGGCCCTCGCTCTTCCACCTCCCCCACCTCTTCTGAGTGTCCTTTTATTCTGGGTAGAGAGGGGTGTCTGTTCTCTTTTCGTTCATTTGCAAATAATGAAAGAGCTCCCTGTAAAACACTTTTGTAAGCTCTGAATAAATTCAGTCGGACTGAATTTTCAATGTGTACTCAAGGGAGGGAGTGGAGCAGAAGTGCAGCACCCGGGTTCATGTTAACCAGCAAGGCAAGGCTGGCAGAATCAGCCTTTAGAAGCCGCTAAGGTGGGCATCTGCCTTTCCACGGCTGCTAGCTTCCATTCTGTCCCGGATGGGGCACAGTTTATTTTGTGACTTGCTTTCGTGGGGGAAGGGCCAGTTCCCACTCAAGGTTTCCTTGTTTGACATTTCACACTTCATGCTCCTGAAAACCATTCTCGACAGCAGAATTGGCTGGTTTCGTCTCTGAGTTGGGCTGTGGTGACTCCTGACTCAGTTGCTGGGGATTAGACTCAGACTCCGGCTTGGCCTCACTTTGAAAAGTGCTTAAGAAAACCTTGTTAGTTCTCCTTGCAGAAGAATTGCGCTGGGAAGCCAAGAAGATGAGCGGGCTGCGGGCGGAGCGGGCGCTGTCGGTGGTGGAGCGTCCGTGGGCGCGCAGGCGCTTCTCCTGGTTGGCATGCTCGAGTGTCAGGTGGCAGCGCAGCACCTGCCCAAACACCCTGCGGAACTGTTGCGAGGACACGTTGTACAGGAGAGGGTTGACCACCGAACTGAGGTAGAAGAAGGTGTCGGAGAAGGGTAGGAGGATCATGTATGCCTGGAAGTAGGACCTGGTCCAGTTATCCTTGGGCTTGGCTGCAGCCATGATCCTTCGAATCTGGTTTGGCATCCAGCATACTGCTAATGTCACAACGATCAGCCCTGAGGAGGAGAGAGAAAGAGAGAGGAAGAGGGGGAAAAAAACAGCATGAGAACAAAAATAAATAAATAAATAAATAAACAAACAAACATAAAATATTTAGCCCCTTGGTTCTGTGCTTACTGGCCAGGAAATGGTACCAATTTTTCAATGTTGTGCTTGACAGCTTCTTTTGCCACTAGCAAGAGAGAATTTAACGCTGTTTCAAGCTCGGGGGAGTTGGCTGTGTTAAAGACCATTAAATGCTTTAGACAGTGTATTTATACCTGTTGATGCCTGTTAATTTTAAGAATGTTTTCATTGTTGCTTGTGTATCCAGGAAACATTTCATGTTGTCCATAAATCTGATTTTGTCGTTTTGTTTTAAAGCAACAGATGTCTGCATACTGTATAGCCATATTAGATGAAATAATATTTGTATTTTAAAAGAAGGTCTAGACCCAGTGATGTTTTTAAGTCAAGTGGAAGGAATTTTTCTCTAATGAAGAAGCATATTTAGCAACACCGATTTTGCATTCAATTCCCAAGGAAGCAAAATCGGGGATAGTCTGTCACGGAGAATGTTTTTTGGACAAATGTGTGCTGGCTATGCACACCTATAATTATGATGCTCACATCTGCAACAGCACCTCTGCTTCTTTTCAAACACTTTTAGATAAATCACCTCTTCCACCTTCATGTGGGAAACATTCTCCAAAAATAAAACAAACAAACAACAACAACAACAAAATATATATATATATATATATATATATATATATATTCAACTTTTTTTTTTAAGTTCAACCAGGAACGTGCTCACTGTCTTTGTAGCTCAGTGTCAGCAGCCCAGAACTCATCGGGACCTAGCAAAGGGACACCCTTCAGTGGCCCTTGCGTGGATCAAATGTTGGCTGCATGTACATCTGTTTGCATGTCCACATGCCTGCATAGGATTTATATAATCATTGCTATCTATGATTCTGACAGACACAGAGATGCGATATATAACACAAACAACTAAAATTGCCGTTATCATGAGAGTTGATCTACAGTGATAGAACAAAACAAAAGGAAGATCAGAGAATCTTTTCTAGAGAAATTAAGAAAGCATAGAACATAAGTTCCCATGTAGAGAGCTGATATCTTAAAGTAGTATTTACATTTTCAGGAATGCTTCCTCCCTCTTCTAAATTGGAGTCATAACAATCATAAAAAAAATCCATTTGCATTTTCAAACCTTCTGATTTTCTAGGGGAGTGATGGTCAGCAGTGATTACTTCTTGCCTATGACTGATGGTAAGTATTATAAATAAATGTTCCAGGAAAATAGCCATGTGCCCATGCCCTGCCTGACCATACTGCACACACTTGCCTGACCATCCCTTGCACTGAAGTAACTACCCTAAGGACAAGTCCTCCACAAAGCCTGTCTATCAGCAACAAGGGCCTAGAAAACTCAGCTTTCTTGTTAATTTCCAAGTGTTCTTCCTGTTAGACCTCGGCCTAGTCTTTGAAATATAAACCAATTTGCTTATTTCTTCTCTTTGAATTTGCTACCCTGAGAACAGTCAGTAAATCTAAAAATAAAATAGGCAAAGAAACATATTGATCTGATGAAAAGGCAAAAAAAAAACAGTACCATCTTAAGTCAAGAGTATATTCTGAATCACCTAGTTACAGCTGCTAGGTGAGAACAAAAAAATCAACATTTTTTCTGATTAAAAAAAAAAACTTGCATAAGAAACAGGGAGCTTTTTTCATGACCTTGAGGAGCATGGATGCTTCTAGCCACCTGTGCTATCACACATTAGTTCTTGAGTTTCTGCTCCTTGTTTTCATCCCATGCAGTTCTGAGTGAGTAGTTCCTCCCATCTCATTGTGAGGGAGCTAGGAAGCTTCCCATACCCGGGGAAGCTATGTATCTTCAGAAAGTTTTACAATTTTTTTTCTCTTCCCTGTCACTGTATTTCACAAAACAACTACATGTTATTTCTGAGAATATGGAAATTGAGTTCATGGTTTTAGATATGTGAGATGCTACACTGTGGGAGGTTTTTCTTCTGGTGGCAGAATCTAGGAAGGAGGTGAGAAGCACCTCGTCCTTACCAGGGACTGAACATTGCACAGCTTTTAAAATCAACAGGCAAGAACAAGGAGAAAGAAGGCAGGGAGTGGGGAGTTGGGCAAGGGGTAAGAAGTTAAAAAAAATGCTTCTCTTCTTCCCTGTTTGTTTCTCCTTTCTTGATCTTTTGCTCACACAACCCTTATTCTGTTAGCTTCCCATATGCACTTGTCTGGTCTCAACTGTCCTTGACAAATCACCCCATCAAAAGAAGCAGAGTTGAGTAAAAGGCAAGACCTAGCATCCAGGTAGGAGAAAAGGAACAGGGGCAGATCAAGTGCTGTATCTTGCTTTGCAGTTTTAGCTGGGATAAAAGTCTTGCCCTGAAATTGAAATGAGTTAGTAAGTGGGGAAAGAGCTCAGTCTGAATAAGTAGCAGAAAATAGGGAACCAGATCAGAGATTCTCAATGATAAGAAAAAGAATTCATCTTTCTGAGGATAGAAATAGGTAGACGTGACAGCAAGTACAAACCTGAAGAACAAGCGACACAAGGATCTGAATTAGAAATGAACCAGAATTTTAAAATTATGCATCTGACAGTTCTTGAGATGCAACCAGGAATAATGCTGAATAGTTACTGCGTTTTCTCCATGCCAGTTTCTGTACTGAACACTCTACTTATTTGTTATGTGTTTTTCCTGACATCAACCTGGTGAATTCTGACCAGGGAGGTCAAAACAGAAATTCATTTAACAAATGAGAAAGTTTAGGATCAGAGGAGGTCAGCTGCCCAAATGCTATAGCCAGGATATGGGCTTGCCAGGTTCCAAAATCCACGATATCTATTTTTCTCTCAAAACACAATGTTGTCAGCTTGAAAACTACAGAAGAAAAGCCAAAAAGTAAACCTTAACTAGATTCTACCATGTAAAATGAACATAGAGCTGCTCTGTCCACTGAAAATATATAATGTAAGCCATATATTTGATTTAAAAATTTCAAGTAGTCACATTCAAAAAGTAGAGGTAGCTGAAATCAATTTTAATAATGTACCCTAATTAAATGCACACTTAATTGAATTTTACATGTAATTTCAACATGTAATCAATATAAAAATTATTGATGAGATGTTTTTACATTCATTTTTCATACTATGCCTACAAAACTCAGTGTGACTTTTATTTTCATCATACATCTTAATGGGGTCCAGACGCATATGGCTAGTGACTCCTGTACGGACAATAAAAATGAAAATAATCCTTCCTAGCCCCTCCCCAAGGTGTCAAGCCTCCCCATTTCATCTTTTCCCATTCCCCTAAATGCAGTTTTCCTGGCCATATATATAAGTTTTGTCTAACCACAGAAGCACCAAGGAATCTCCTATGTAGCCTTGATTTGCAATAATGTATATATTCTTGGTTTATCAAGTCTTCTCATATAAAGCTGTCCATAGAAGAGAGCTCCAAATTATTTACAGTCTAATTCTGAAAATACAAAGATGTAATTTTCATTTCTCACGCTAAACTGTGCCTAACCGTTCTGAAATCGTGCCAGCTACCTGGCAGAACTGTTAGAATATACTTTCCCCACCTCAACTGAAGGTGGGAAAAAATGACTAGTGCCTTTCTTTCTGTGTTTTGAAAGATAATTTTGTTCTAGAGAAAATGGAGCATTGGGCACTCAGGTACAGTCAATGACAAATGTGAGACATGTACCCAAGGATGATGTAATAGAGGTTAGCCTCTCCAGAAAAGGAAGCCAAACTAGTCCCCTTGTAAAATTTGTCATTTTAATAATGACAGGTAATTGCTCACTTTTGCATTTGAAGAAAAAAAAATGTTCATTATTTGAGATGAAACACTGTTGAGAATAAATACCATGCCCAAAGGTAACTTTCTATTCTGGCTATTTGCAATTGATTCAACTCTAGTTCCAGTTACTCTGTAGCTAAGACAAAGCTTTAAAATCTTATTCATGCCTTAATAGAGAGTATTAAAGATTTGACTAAATTTATGTTTG